TCCTATGACAAATGCTCATTCATGGCAAGAACCTTTCACGGGTCTTAGGCTACCTACAGCATCAGGATTGGACCCTCAGCTCCACCTGCAAGCCTTCTCCAGATTCTAGGGTCTAGACTCCAGAGTCCAGAACTTTAGGCTGCAAATTCAAGGTCTACTGCTAAACCTAGTCCACAATGCAGGCTTTTTTTTTTTCTGGTTGCCACAGGATGGACAGATTTTTTCTTTTCTTTTTTTTTTAGACAGAGTCTCACTCTGTTGCCCAGGCTGGAGTGGTGCAGTGGCACGATCTTGGCTCACTGCAACCTCCGCCTCTTGGTTCAAGCGATTCTTCTGCCTCAACTCCCCAGTAGCTGGGACTACAGGTGCATGCCACCATGCCCAGCTAATTTTTGTATTTTTTTTTTTTTTTTTGAGACAGAGTTTCACTCTTGTTACCCAGGCTGGAGTGCAATGGCGCGATCTCGGCTCACTGCAACCTCCGCCTCCTGGGTTCAGGCAATTCTCCTGTCTCAGCCTCCTGAGTAGCTGGGATTACAGGCACGCGCCACCATGCCCAGCTAATTTTTTGTAGTTTTAGTAGAGACGGGGTTTCACCATGTTGACCAGGATGGTCTCGATCTCTCAACCTTGTGATCCACCCGCCTCGGCCTCTCAAAGTGCTGGGATTACAGGCTTGAGCCACCGCGCCTGGCCTAATTTTTGTATTTTTAGTAGAGACGGTTTCACTATATTGGCCAGGTTTGTCTCGAACTCCTGACCTCCTGATCTGCCCTCCTCAGCCTCTCAAAGTGCTGGGATTACAGGCATGAGCCACCAAACCCAGTGTTTTTTTTTTGTTGTTGTTGAGGCAGCGTTCACTCTGTTGGCCAGACTAGAGTTCAGTGGCGTGATCAGATCACAGCTCACTGTGGCCTCAAAGTCCTGGACTCAAGGAATCCTCTCACCTTAGCCTTCTGAGTACCTGAGACCACAGGTGTGTGCCACCACACCTGGCTAATTTTTATTTTATATTTTTAGTAGAGAGGAGGTCTTGCTATGTTGCCCAGGCTGGTCTTGAACTCCTGGGCTCAAGTGATCCTCCCTCCTTGGCCTCCCACAGTACTGGGATTATAGGTGACAAATACTCTTGAATGTAAAAGCTTTCGACAGGACATGGGCTCTCCTGTTAGAAACAAACATCACTAGTCCCTATTAACCCAAAATGCCCTCCATTTTTACTCATCTAGATCACCTTCCTGGCACCTGAAAGCACTTAAATTTGGGACCTTTGAGTCTGAGCTCCTTGAGACACCCAGGTCCTTGTATTTTACATGCCATCAGCCAGCATGCAGCAGATACTTGATAAATGTTTGCTGAGTGCTTGACTCTAACTGGCCTCATCTATTCTTTCACCCTACACTCCACTTCCAACCACATTTCAACTGTTCTCTGAAACATTTTTCTCTCTGCCTCAAAAGCTTCTTTGTGAATTCCTATTCACCCCTCAAGACCCAGCTTAAGTGGCCTCCCCTCTGGTCCACTTGTCTGCTTCCCTCACAGTGCTCCTCTATTAGAAGACTTTGACAGCTCCCTTCTTCATGGACTAGGTTTTGAGATTGGCTGTATTTGATATGTACATAGTGTTTCAGCCACCGAGAAAGACTTAGTTGGCTTAACTGGCCCATCTCAAAGTGTCATGCAGAAGCCTGAGTTAGCTAGCTCACCAACCTCGGTAAACCCCATTAGCAGCTCTGGGTCTCTGTCCCCAAATCCTGATGCCTCAATCCTCATCTTCACTTGGGTGTAGGAAGAGGCCTCATGACTCAGGGTCTGGCCCATGGAGGGAGGAGAGTCCCTAAACGGGCTCCAGGCAGAAGATAAATATTAGTGAACAAGCTGGGACCAGCCCTGCTGCCAGCCTGGCCCAGACACCCTTGGCCCATGACTTGACATTTTCTGGGGCTACCTGCTGGGCTTGGCCAAGGTGATGTGGGGCGGGTTGCCCAGGCCTGTGGAGAGCTGTTGGCAGAATGCACTCTCCAGGGCTGCAGACGGCAATGCCAGGGAACACCCACACAATGCCACACTGGTTCCAAGGCACCCCCTCTTAAAGGCTCCATGTGCACCCCCACTCCATGGTCCAGCCTTATCTGTGCAGAGCCCCTATCAGGGTCAGCTTATCTCTTTTGCATCAAGAGGGTGGGTACATGTGAGTGTGGGAGTCAGGGAACATGGGTGTGTGTTATGGCGTGTGTGTGAGTAGATCTGTGAGTATGAGGATTGTATGGGAATGAGTGTATGTGCGTGTGCATGATGTGTGACTCTCTGTCCATGTATGTGTGTATGTGTGTGTGTGAAGGGTGAATGTCTGTGGGTATGCTCATGGGTTCGTGGGTTTGTGTGTGTACGTTAATGGGTATGCTTGTGGGTTTGCGTGTGAGAGTCTATGAGTAAACTCCGTGGTTTGTGGATGTGTATACATGTGACTTGGTGTGACAACAAAGGTGTGGATGTCAGTCTTGGTTCTGCCATTTCATAACTCTTGAAAACTTAAACAAATCCCTTCCCTTTCTTTTTTCGTAAAATAGAATGGACAGGACAAGACAAGACGATCTTTTAAGTCTCCTTCCAGCTTTGATACACAACAACTGGTTTGGGGGTTGTGTACAAGTGTGTGAAGGCTGTGTGTGCACCTGTGCATGCGTGTGAGAGAGCATCAGGGTGGTGCTGTGCGAAACACATGGCTTGGAATTCGGATTCCACATTTATCAGTTATGTGGTCTCAGATTAGCCCCTTCCCCTCTCTGAGCCTTCCCTCTGCCGACAGGGCTAATGATTCCTATAAGGCTGCTTTGAAATCTAAGAAATATTGTTTGGGAAGTGCCTAGCCCAGAATCTGGCTCAGCTCCCTCTCTGAGATATGTGTGTGTGTGTGTGTGTGTGTGCGCATATGTGTGTTCCCACATACACACACGTGGGTACTCACGGGCACATGCTCCACTGTGCCAGTTGGTCCAGAGTACAGGGTAGGTGCCTAGATCATTCCTGCCTTCTGGGGTTTCTAACTTCTGTCTGTGCTGGGAACACAGTCACCCAGGAGAGAGAGCCTTGAGAAGACAGTCTCCCAACTACCTGTCTGGACCCACGTGGTCCTGAGGCCTCCCTGCTGCTCCAGACTGGCTGTCACATGGGTGCAGTGGCCTGGAAAGGAGGATTGGGGTGGGCAAGAGACAGGCTCCCAAATCCGATTAGTGCCCACCCGCCATCCGGAGTGTTAGAGACTAAAGAGATTCTTCTTAAAGGGTCAACTGCAAGTCTGGGATGGTGGCTGAGCTGATCTTGGGACTCCAGGCCCCTCTAGAACAACGTCTCAGGATGGGAGCCAGGAGCAGACAGGGCCTTGAGCTCAGAGAGCTCCCAGCCTGATGGAGAGAGCTGGAAGAGTCAGTCTAGCTCTGTGGCTGCCTGTGGTCTCAGGAAAGGAGGGCTTCAACTCTGGGCCTGGAAAAAGGAGGGGCAGAGGCTTGAGGGACTGGTAGAGACTGGGGAGAGAAGAAAGAGGGCATTCTAAGTAGGAAGATTAGCATGGGCAAAGTGGGAAGACTGGCCTGAGAAACTAACGTGACTGTGTGTGCGCTTCTATGTGTACTAGGGAGAGGGTGCCCTAGGGGCCTTGGAGAACATAAAATCCAACTTTTCATTTTATTGGTGAGGAAGCTGAGGCTAGAGAAGGAAGGGACGTTTCTCTGGTCAGAGTGAGGTCCTGACTGACTCCAGCTCAAGTCTAAGGTCTGCCTCCAGTTCCTGGGCTCTAAAGAGAGGCTGTCAAGCTGAGCTGCAGAGCCCCTCCTCCCCTCTTTTTGCTGATCCCATAGTGATCTTGGTGAAGCAGAGCAGAGGCTTAGCGGTGATGTCTGCCTTTAGACCAATGCGAGGGTCTAGGGCTGGACCCTGTATCCCTGTTCAGGGGTCTCAAACAAACCTGGAGTGGCTGCTTACACTTGGGCCTGATCCACAAGGGCATGTCCCAAGCCCAGACTCTGGATACCCAGAGAAGAACCCAACACTGAACCCCACGCTGGCTGGGCTCCAACACCCACACTAGCGAAAGCCCAAACCACTGACCCTGAGAGAACTCACAGCTGGGCTCTGAACACAAAGAAAAGGTCCCAGCACCCGGCTGAGCTTCCACTGCAGGCTCGGTACTGGGTCGCCACAACGCCATCCAGAAACTCCGCGAAGAACCCAGCATCCAAATAAGAGCACCCAGGTCCCAGCACACACCCTGAACACGAAGAGGAGATACCAACACCCCAACAGGGTCCATTTGGATCGGCTTCCAATCCAGACCCAGAACATCCTGATTCTATGCCTACAATGGATTCAGATGTGGGGCCCACACCGGGAATGGCTCAGGAGGCCTCCCTCCTTCCCATCCAGCTTCATTGAGGCTTATCCAGAGAGGTCTTCCAAGTTCCAAGACTTTTTCTTCAGAAATGCTTGATCATAGATCGGGATGACTGTGACTGGGGAAGGGGGCAGGAGGCCAGGCCTGTTCCCTTTGGGGGTAAGGGGAGGGGGATCCAGTTTGCAGGGCTGGGGTGGGAGAGGGCAGGCGAGGTGTGCGCCCCGACCCCTTCCACCAGGCGCGGGAGCTGGGGCGGAAGCTGTGCACCCTCGGAGGCCCTGCGCTCCCGGCACCGAGGGCCCCTAAACAGCCCGCGGGGCGCTGGGCGCGGGGCCAGGAAATCCGGCGCCGGCCCTTGAAGCGCACCCGGGCCGGGCGGGGGCGGGCTGGGCGCTGGCACCACGGCCGCCTGCAGAGCAACGTGACTGCGCGGGCTCGGGTCCCCACCGGGACAAGGCGGCCTCTGTGCCGACCCAGCTGATTCCTCTCCGGCTGCAAATCCCTTCCGGCTGACAGCCCTGCCGGCTGGGACCAGGCGTGGGAACGGGGAGCGGGGCTGGGGGCAAGGTGGGCGCGGAGGAGGGGAGCCCATTGGCAGGAGGCCCCCCGGGAGGCCACCTGCTCTGTACATCCAGGGTGGCAAGGGCTACCGTTGCGGACAGGGAAGCCGAGGCCAGGAGAGGTCGAATCTAGTTCAAGTCGCTCAACCTGTTTCTTGGTTAAAGCCAGAGTTCTGAATTAACTCTGTATTTGTTGTTGAGAGGTAGGTGGTATTATTACCATCAATTTATAAATAAGGGACTCTGAGGCTCAGAGTTGAAGCCGCCTGCCCAACGTCCTAAGACAAGAAGGGAGTGAGGCTGGGACTGGAGTCCAGGACTGCCCACTCCAAACATGGGGGCCAGGCCGTCCCAGCAAACCCCTGACCCCAGGTACTCACTGGACACACAGCCGGAGGCTCGGCATGGGCCTAAGTCACAGGGTCCCCCTGCTCAAGGCCTTGTGTCTGGTTGGCTCAGTGTGGTCGGCCCGGGGGATGAGTTGCGTTAATCTCCTGGAGGACAGAAGTGGGGCTGAAGGAGGGAGATGGGGTGAGGGTGGAGGTGCCAGGTGGCTGGACAGAGGACTGGAGGGCAATGCGTCTGGGAAATGACTTTCAAGAAACCCCTCTGCCCTCCGCATGCAGCTGGGGACGAAGCTGGAACCCCAGAGGCTAGAGATAGAGCCATGAGGTGGGCTGGGGAACCATCCAGCATCCAGCAACCAGCCTCACCCTGGCCTCCGGGGAACACGATGGGTCCGATGAATTCTGCGGAATTAAAAAATGGGGACTTCTCAGCAGGGAAAGAGCTCAGCTGGTTCCCGGACTGTCTGGCTTCTGTCCTGACTCCCACAACTGGGGCAGCTTGGGACTTTTTTCCATTCCTTGCCCAAGATTTGACCTAGACAAGGAGTGTGGGGGCTCAAGGGAGGAGGGAGGATGGCAGGGGCATGGGGGCGACTGCTGAGTGGGCACGTGACTGCCCGCTATGCGTGTGCCTGTGTCTGCACAAGATGAATATCTTTGTGATGCTTTTACACACATGTGCCTCTGAGAATGGTCGTGGTGGCTCTGGCGGGGTGGGTGTATTGTATCTGTGGGTGCTGTTCATGTCTGAGCACTTTGACCCTGTCAGGATCTGCGTTATCTCTCTGGGTCTGTGTGTTTGTGGCTAAACCTGTATCTGTGAGTCTTTGTGTGTGTCTGTTTCCGCCCCCAACAGAGCCCTGAATGCCATTTTGCTGCCTGAATGTGCAGAGGAATGTGGGGGGGACATGGGAGAGGGGAGCACATGTCCTGGGCTGCTGGCCTGTTGGTTATGGAAATCTACTGAGGCCTCCTGGAGCTGGGCAGCCCAGGCCAGGCCCAGAGCCAGGCTCTGCAGATTTTGCCCTTCCAGGCTCCTCCCATCCCTTCTCTGCAGGGCTGGGGACCTGCTGAGATGGGTTCTTGGTGGAGCAGAGAGCACTGCCTCCCTCCCACCACTCCCCAGATGGTTTGCCAGGCCTGGTGGGGGGGAGGGGAGTGAGGGGATGAGATTAGTTTCCTCTGAAGTCCTTCCCAGCCCTGACATTCTCTCCATTCTGTGACTGTTAAAGGGATTTAAAAAGGCAACTTTACCACCATTTTGGGGGATTGTGAAAGCAGTGGGGTCTCGGACTGTCAGAGCAAGAAGGGCTCCTAAAGATGATCTAGTCTCACCCCCTCTATCTTACGGATGAGGGCACAGGCCCACAGTGAGGGGTCCAGATCTCCCAGTCACCTTTTGGAAGGGCAAGAACCATGTCATCAGGCCTGCCGTCTCCCCATCGCCACGGGCTCGTCCCCCATCATACTGCGTGACCTACCCTGCACAGAGGAAGAGGCTTTTGAGAAGGCCTTGGAGGATGGGAGCATTTCAACACATGGAGGTGGGGTTGAGGCTCTGGGTGGCAAGAAGACACTGGTGAAGGTGTGAAAGTGGGCAGCTGAAGGGTGCAGTCAGGATGGAGCGTGGGAAGGCACCAAGTGAACACACTGGGTCCTAGGACTGAAACAGTGTGTCTGAGCTGTATGTGAGGGTCCTCGCAAGCAGGTGTGGACTTTATCCTACAGGTGAGTCTGGTAAGAGGTAAAATTGCCATGTAGCCGAGTGGTTTAGGGCACATGAGCTGCAGTTGAATCAGATTACCTTGTATTCCAATCCCAGCTCTAAGACTTTGGTAACTGTGTAACTACCCAGCCCTGAGCAGGTTACTTAAACTCTCCATAACTCACTTTTCTCATCATTGGAATGAAGGGAGTAGACCAGGCCCGGTGGCTTGCATCTATAATCCCAGCACTTTGGGAGGCCAAGACAGGACAATAGCTTGAGTTCAGGAGTTTGAGATCAGCCTGGACAAAATAGTGAGACCCTGTCTTTATTAAGAAAAAAAAAAAAAAAATGGAGGTAATGATGGTATTTCACTCCCATGGTTGTCATGAGAAAGAAATGAGAATATAGGCAAAGCCCTCAATGCCCGATCCTGGCCAGTGCTCAGTAATAGCTGTGATGCACCTGGCAGTGAGGTCTGTATTTAAGGCTAGTCCGGAGGGACAGAGAGAAGGCAGGGATACCGGGAGGAGTCCACAAGAATCATGTTGATGAGATGCCATGATGAGGTCCACGACACTGTCCCCTGGGTTAACTGGCTGGAGTCCTCAGCAGGGCTGCAGGAAGGTGGGCAGAACCCCTCACTGAGCGGTCTTGAGTTTGTCCCTGGGTGAACAGCACCTGAAAAACCATTTTCAGAGGAGGATTGGTGGAATGGGGAGGGAACTGGGGAGAGAAGATTCTCAGCTTCTGACAGCAGGAGGGTAGCGGGGTAGGGCCCAGGAGAGAGATTAGGGAAGTGTAGGTTGCTTACTGCTTGTGGTGCTGGAGGCTGCTGGTTTGGGAGAGGTCATGCACAAAGCGAAGAGAGAGGAAAGGGGCTCCCACAACCCAGGGAACCCCTTCTGAGCCAGAGCCTTGGGAGAAGCAGCAGCCACAGGGGCTGAGGAAACTGAGGCAAGCTGCGGTCAGAGAAGGTGAGGGAAGAGTGTGCTTCAAGGAGGGAGCAGTGAAGAGACCCCCGTCAGGGGAAACAGCAGGACAAGGAGGTCGAGGTGGAGGAAAAGGAGCACAGAGGCAGTCGGCTTTGGCATTGAAGAGGCCACCTGTGTAGAATCCGATTTGCAGAAGAGGGAACAGAACCCAAGCTGTGGCTAGGTGAGGGATTAATTAAAGGGATGGGGAAGTGGAGGCAGAGGCAGGTGTTCTGTGACTGCTCAGAAGCTTGGCTGAGGAGAAGGGGAATGACTTGTGGCAGCCAGACAGGGGAGGTTTGGAGCCTTCCGGGGACAGGGTGACGGGTGATATTCTCATATTTCCGGTGGAGAAACTGAGGCTCAGGGGTTAAGAAGCTTGTGCAAAGTCATGATAAATTATTGAGGGAGGGCAGCTCAAGCTCTCTGACTCTTAATGTAGTAATTTCCTAAATGGACAATTGAAATAGTATAATACACACACACACACACACACACACACACACACACACACACACGGATATTAGTTCTGATCACAGAAGTAAAACATGTTCATGGGAGAAATCTAGAAACAGATGCAATAGTGTAAGGGAAAAACACATAAATCACCTGTAATTCTGCCACACAGAGATAAGCATTTTTACCATTGTGTGTCATGACTTTCTACTGTTTTCCTCTGCCAGTATACATAAATACACACTGGGATCATGTTGTACAAACTGTTTTATAAATCCCTTGCTTCATTTAGCAACATAGCATAAATGCTTTTCCATAAGAATAAATATCCCTTGAGAATTATTTTTTTCTCTTTTAGCTCATAGTCTAGGCAGGAAGATAAGACTCACAGATGGGATCCTGCAGTAAGCAGTTGAGCACAATTAATGAGGTGGCGGGAAAGTGCCTGGATCCCTGGACTGGGAGCACAGTGAGCTGGCTCTTTGGCTCCTGACTTGGCCACTGATTAGTTATGTGGCTTTTAGCACTCATAGCATATTTGGGCCTTAGAACCCCAAGTATCTCCAAAGGGTTATCAATGAGTCTCTGAAGGCCAGCTGTCATCATGGCAAAAGGGTTGAAGGAGAGTCTCAGAAAATGAAACCATGCCGGGCGCGGTGGCTTATGCCCATAATCTCAGCACTTTGGGAGGCTGAGGCAAGTGGATCACCTGAGGTCAGGAGTTCAAGACCAGCCTGGCCAACCCGGTGAAACCCCGTCTCTAAAATACAAAAATTAGCTGGGCATGGTGGACCATGCCTGTAGTCTCAGCTACTTGGGAGGCCGAGGCAAGAGAATCACTTGAAACCAGGAGGCGGAGGTTGCAATGAGTCAAGATCACACCACAGCACTCCAGCCTGGGCAACAGAATGAAACTCTGTCTCAAAAAAACCCAACAACAACAACAAAAAGAAAATGAAACCACATTATCATCGTGATTCTGTGGGTCAATTTCTTCATCAGAAACTTGGGAAGCGTATTTACCTATCCTGCCTGCCAGAATTGGTGATAATCAAATCAGATTATTTATTTATTTATTTATTTTTTAGACTGAGTCTCACTCTGTCACCCAGGCTGGAGTGCAGTGGCACGATCTCAGCTCACTGCAGCCTCTGTCTCTGGGGTTCCAGCGATTCTCCTGCCTCAGCCTGCCGAGTAGCTGGGATTACAGGTGAATTCCCGACCTCAGGTGATCCACCTGCCTTGGCCTCCCAAAGTGCTAGGATTACCGATGTGAGCCACCATGCCCGCCTTAGGTTAATTATTATGATGCCTACAAACAACTAATATTTGGATAATGTTTTGCTGTTTACCCACATTATCTCACTTAATCATTCCAACAATCCTGTGGGCTAGGTAGTGTTTTTGTACTCTATTTTTCTGGATAAGGAAACCATGGCTTGGAGAGGTGGGGTCACTTGTTCAAGGTCAAAGATAGTGGTAGAGTTGGGGTTGAAGCCTAGTCTCCTTGTTACTAAAGCCATGAATCTTTGCACTATGCCACTGTGATGTGTTCTGCAGGCCTGCAGAGGAGAGGGACATGGAAAAGAGGAAAATTTAAAAAAGTAGAATGCCAAGCTGCTTCATCCTTGGTTTAGCTGTTGTTGTCCCAGGTACCAATATCTGTGGGGAGTTGCCACCCCCTGGTGTTCCGTGTGTGATATTTCCTGGAAGGGAGGAGAGCCAGCAATCTGCCTGCCCCAGTAGAGAAGTCGGGTGGGATGAGCTCAGAATAATCCCAGCTTGTCCTTTTAGAGTCAGGGCGGGGGTGGGGGAGCGGTGGTCGGTGCATATTTCACCCAACAGTTCTGAGTAGAAGCTTGGTATATTTCAGGCCCCACTTGCTCCTTATCCTCACTAGGGTGCCCTTGCGCAGGGTTAGCAGCCAACTGACAATATTTTATTTCTGACTCAAGTGCTAGGTTAGAAGGGTGTTACATCATAATTATTTTCTAAACTCTACATTAATGTTTCATATGCACTTCTGTATCTGGGATACAACTCAATAGAAAAACATGGGATTTTTAGCAATGCTTAGGGAATAATTTTTACTCTGGGCTGAAAAATTTGTCACTGGCATAGCATCAAATGGCAGAGTGGCACAGCCAGCACCTGAAGATGTGTACTTTAAAGCAGGCTTTCACCTGTTACCTCATTTTACAGTACCATAGCCTTCCGAGGAAGGTATTTATTTTCATTTTACACATGAGAAGATAGACTCAAGATTCCCCCCACCCCCTCTACCCAACTGGTTGAAGTCAGGGAACTTTCCAAGACCCCACACTGCCCCCTTGTGGCAGTCCTCATGGCTGACTCAGTAAATAGGCCATAGTGGCATGCCCAAATGAGATCGATGTTGCCTCCAAAATCTAATATGTTGGGCTTCTTTCTTTGTGATGGGAGATGCCAGATGCAACAACTATCCTTAATCTTGCAAGAGATATTTTCGTGTTCACCTTATAAAGGATACTTTGATGTACTAGAGACCATTGGAAGCAAAAAATTTCACTAAGGTGGTAGGTTCCTCGGGTTTGGTTTGGGATTTGTTTCCTATCATCTGTTACATACCTGTCTTACCAGCGTGCCTAGGGTATCAAGTAGTACTCACCCTGTCCAATCAATATGATTTTATCAGTGTAGTAGGCCAGCATGATCTCCCATGAAACGGTGAAATGATTAGGTCATAGCAGGCTAGATTTTGATAGAGGGCTGGAGAGTTGATATAGCTTTGAGCGAAAAAAGTGAAGGTGTAAGGCCGGACGCGGTGGCTCAAGCCTGTAATCCCAGCACTTTGGGAGACCGAGGCGGGTGCATCACGAGGTCAAGAGATCAAGACCATCTTGGTCAACATGGTGAAACTCCATCTCTACTAAAAATACAAAAAGTTAGCTGGGCATGGTGGTGCGTGCCTGTAGTTCCAGCTACTCAGGAGGCTGAGGCAGGAGAATTGCCTGAACCCAGGAGGCGGAGGTTGCAGTGAGCCGAGATCGCGCCATTGCACTCCAGCCTGGGTAACAAGAGCGAAACTCCGTCTCTAAAAAAAAAAAAATCAGTGTAGAAAAAAGTGAAGGTGTATTGCTAACTCCACGAGGTTCTGCTTTAAGTCCCCACTGACTGGCATTCCTAGCTCTCTGTCTTTGGATATGTTGTTTTATAGTATACCAAGGAAGTTTTGACCTTTCTCCTTAATGTAATGTAGGCCACCTTTAAGTCCAAGTTTCAGTTAGCCAGCCCAGTAAGCTGCTACAGCCACTCTCAGTTTCTTGAGATAACATATCTGTGTCAATGAATTCAGTGCAATAAAAAATTACAGTTTTCTTTCTCAGGTATAACACTCTTGGAATCCACTTCGATAAATATTTCCCAGCCT